TGAACAAGATGAAATTCAATAAAGACAAGTTCAGAGTACTTAGGAAGGTAAAATGAAATGCATAACTACAAAATGGGGAATTGTTGGCTAGGTAGTAGTACTGCTGAAAAAGATCTGGGGATTATAGTGTATCATAAATTTAATGAGAGTCAGTGATATGATGTAGTTGTGAAATGGCCAATATCATTTCTGGGTGTATTAACAAGAGCGTTGTATGTGAGACATGAGGAGTAATTGTCCTGCTCTACTCAGCACTGATGAGGCGTCAGTTGGAGTACTGTGTCCAGTTCTGGGCACCATACTTTTGGAAAGATGTGGACAAATTGGAGGGGGTCCAGAGGAAAGCAACAAAAATGATAAAAGGTTTAGAAAAGTTGATCTGTGAGGAAAGGTTTAAAAAAAACCTGGCCCTCTTAAGTCTTGAGAAAAGAAAACTGAAAGGGGGCCTGGTAACAGTCTTCAAATATGTTAAAGGCTGTTGCAAAGAGAACAGAGATCAATTGTTCTCCATGTCCGCTGAAAGTAGAGCAAGAAGTAATGGGATTACTCTGCAGCAAGGGAGATTTAGTTTATATATTAGGAAAATCTTCCTAACTAAGGGTAGTTAAGCTCTAGAATAGGCTTCCAAGAGAGGTTGTGGAGTCCCCATCATTGGAGGTTTTTAAGAACAGATTGGATAAATACCTGTCAGGGATGGGCTAGGTTTACTAGGTCCTGCCTCAGAGCAGGGGACTGAACTTGATGACCTCTCAAGGTCTCTTTCACCCCTACATTTCTGTGACTCTTCATAGATCTCATCTCATCCCTTTTCTCTCTGACTACTTGCTCTGTTCTTGTGAATGCCCAAGCAGAATTCCTGTATAATTCAGTAACCTGCCTGTGCTCATCAGAATGGAGCCAAACTGGCAGAGCAAAGGGAATGGTTTGACGATGCACATCCACACTGAAGCAAACCCACCTTCGAGGGTTGTTGGTTGGCTGACTGCCCCAATGATTAGTCGCCGATGCATTGCTATTTAGCCTTTCTGGTTTTAGGGGCTGATCTTTTTTTTTTTCAGTACCTGAAGTAATTAAATTTTGTTAGAACCACTGTAATTACCTATCTTGAATCTCTGTACAGGCTTCCTCTTTTCTCTTGCAGTCCTTTCAGACATCTCATTTGCAAAGCTATCTAACTCTGATTACAACTTTGTCCTAATCTCTTCCTACATCCCGTCTTCCTCCATACGTTCTACCCACACCTCCCCCACTCCTTACTTCACACATTTTTCATACTGCCTTTTATGCTTGGAACAGCATCTCAGTAACATCATGTCTAGCTCTTTCCTTCTCCTACAAAAATCACACCTGTTCAATAAAGCATTACAGCTATAATTGCCATGCACCATTCTGTGTTTCTGCTGTTTTGTTTTGTAACCACAGGTTTGGGATTTACTAGTATGGTTCAGTTCATCTACTGTCTGCACTTGCAGCACTGCTGAAGTAAACAATAGTAATAATAAATATACATCAACCATGTCCTTTTTAAGGAGGATAATCTTTACAAATGGGTTTACTGGGAAAGCTGTGGTTAAGGCCCTCAAGCAAATGAGAAGATAGAGTGGGCCGGTCACAGTGTGGATCACGCAGTTGGGAATTTTCACTAAATTAGTATTGCATTTATTTAGAGAGATTACATTAAAATAAAACACTTCCATGATGACTCTGGAATATCTTTCAAATAATCCACTAGCAAAGAAGCTGAACATTCACACAGTGACAGAGAAAATCCAGTGACTCCTATCTTCACAGACAGTTGGGACCCTAAGCACCGACTAATCCCCTGGGGAAAATGGAAGTTAAGAAAGCAGAAGTAAAACTGCTATGATCTAAGACCACAAGCCTTCATCTGAGTAAACAAAGTCTATTTATATACCATGGGGAGAAGGCGAAGGAAGTGAAATACTTATCTGATTTGAACAACCAGACAGAACGCATCGATAAGCCAGTTTAAAATGCAGGGGGTCTGTTCTGCCATTGATGTTTAATGGGGCTCATACGTGTTGCTCACATGAGTTTTAATGCAATATAAGTTCACAAATGTAAGTTCACAAATGTCGATAAAAGAATAGACCCTCAGAGAGTCTTGATTTTAAGATACAGTATTTATAGATGATTCAGGAACGTTACTTTTTTTGTAAGAGTTCCCTTAATCCATTTTTGATAGTTGTCTAAAAGGTGATTTAATGTATACTTAGATTTCAACAGCAATTAGATTCTTCTGCATTATCAGTAGGGATCCATGCTCTTGGGACCAAGGTCAGAGTTCTCTGGAAGCAGTGGTCATGTATTTGTCTCCTCTCAGAATTGAACATGTGATGCAAGGTTATATAAGGAGATGAAACCTCGCCTCCAAACTAATTCCTTGACCTCTCTTTCAAGAGAATCCAGAACCCTCATGCTCCTTTTCCTTTACACCCATTTTACCTTCAACGTAGTTAGTTTATTGTACTTATTTTTTATTTGTTATTTCAGATAGACAGATGAACTAGGCTTTTTGTACTATGTGGTATATTAGTAAGGCCCACATAATTGATGTGGCTGAGCTACACTGAATTCTGTGACAATGTGAATTGACTTAAAAAAATCATTCAATAACCTGCAGTTTTATTGAAATATTTCTAACAATGGCCAACAAAATGAAAATCTAATGTCTATTATTGTTTCCTTTGTAGCAGAACAGTGCCACCTGGCATTTCTACAATGGGCTAACCCATGAAAGACATGTTCAGTGACAATTTTTTCTCCTACCATGGATGTGAAGTAAATTAGAAATTGTATAGACTCTAACCAAAAGCTTTGGAGGAGTGAAGGGGTCCTAGTTAAATTCAGAAGTCAACACTTCATTGAGGTGAATGGAGTTTAGAGTTTGCACCTCATAGATTTATGGGGATTAGCTTCAGAAGTTCACACTTTTATGTGGTGATGGAGAGGAGGAAGCTCATATTTTCTATTTTTATTGTTTGGAGACAGTTTTCTGTCATGCAAGGCTCTGGAATGGAAGTGCAAGCAGCTCGAGCAGTTTTGTATGGTGGCTACTGCTTCCTGCAAACCTCCCTATGAACCCGCAAACTTTTTGCCCTCTTCTGCTACTGTGTGCTTTGATTCACCCCCACTCCTCCAAGTGGCCACACGATCTCCTCTTTCATGGAGCTAAGGATAGAAACTGTTCTGTGTCCTTGATGCCTCCCACCTTATTCCTTTAAGGGGAGCAACATGGAAGCAGAAATGTATTGAACTCTTCTTTGTAGGGAACTCACAGAACAAAAGAAACAGACTGAGATGAAGAAGACAGAAAGGAAAAATGGCAGGCAGGGATGCACAGGAACAGAAGGAGGCATTATTTTTGTGGATTTATTTGGCAGCTTGGCAAAAATATAAAATTTTCAGCCATCTGCACAGCCACGTAATTTTATTATACACTGGGACCCCACTGTATGTTTATGTATCTATCTAGTTAAATTAGTAGTTACTAAATAACTCTTCATGCTGTCGCATGGACAGTTTGATTATTTTATTCTGCTTCTGGATGGTAGTTCCATAAAACAGATCCAAGCATGGGGATCAAGCACCGTGCTTATGTAACAGCAAAAAGTCTCGTATGGCCAAGCATGTGCAATGAGGAAGCTATAATCCATGTCCCAAGGTGCATACTATCTAACAGCTTAGTGTGGATTCAGTCATACATACTAAAAAGGATGCATATATGTATTTGAACTGATAAAAGGATCTTTGAAAATTCTAGGTTATGATGCTACTGAACCCAAATAAAGTTGACCAAGATTTTCAATTTACCTCAACTTTTGGGTGCTCAACTTAATGTCTTACAGGACTTGGCTTTCATGAACTCCTGAGCATCCACCCTTTGCAAATTGGGTTCATTTAAAGTATTGTAAGTTAGCACCCCAAAGTTAAGCCACCCCAAATCACTAGTCACTTTTGAACAGAGTATAGTCCATGATACATCTGCTTAAACTATCATTTTCCCCAAATAGCTGTGTCATAAGATACCCTCCACTAGCTCCTATTGTTGTAAAAAAACAGTTAAAAAGGCAGAGATAGAGATGAGAGTTCTACCATGCAGGTGCTAATGTATCCTTAACCATGTGAGGTACTTCGGTACTATTGTAGTGAACACTATAGAAATACATATCAATATATAAAATATAACTCAAAATATGGGTTAGCAAATGAAATATTTTAACAATAATTATTATTTCAAGTATATAAACTTTATATAATAAATAATATTATTATATAATATAATAATAATAAGTATATTAAGCTTCAATTCGCTTTTGCGTAAAAATAGCAGAGATGTTTAATGTCCCAAGTCTAAGTTTAAAATGAAAATACTAACCTTAGCTAAAGAGCTGGTATAATGTCACACTTGTATATTAAATGGATGTTCATATCTGCCATTCAGTATGTGTTGCATTTCTCTTATGATCTTAGCACGTTGGTGAACTTTTTGTATTACATCATTGTTAAATGCAAAACTACTGTTTGTAGATCCTAGGGATACATACGGAAGAGTATAATCACAGGTTACAGTTCTAGTGAATGCTGTTGCAAAATGTGACCTAAATACAAATCCACTATAGGGATAAGTGTAACCATTTACTCTACAATTATAAATTCACATAGCTAATTTATATTAATTAAGCTGAATTGGATAGGGCCTGAAAGTTATTGAAATGGAGTTTAAGAAGAAACAGACATGTGAGAGAATCATTAACATTTGTCTCTTTGGCTTTGTCCTGTCATGGAAAAATGGCCACTCCTATCTTTGGGAGGGTTATGATGTGTACCTTTTACACTTCTAAGGCTTAGTTACAGGGAGTTGCACAGAAACACACAGCGCTGGTATGGTCAGGAAAGGACAAACCCTCTTGTCAAGTGCCCAAGAACAGATTGTTGTGGGTGTCAAGCATTTTCAAAACAAGTTTTCTTTGTTTCAGAACAAGTTGCAGCAGGAACAGAAAAATACAAAGGTATCCTATAATCACCACTTTGCACTTCAAAAAGTGAATAGTTAGATTACTTTAATAGGATTTGGAGATCCTCTCTTTTAATTCTAACATGGCCATGCTGTTGACACCACTGATATATTATGATTTTATTAAGAAGTGGCAGCATAATAATTCTAGTCTGGGAGGAATAGGTGAAAAACACTAGTAAGCCTTAGGGCTCTATTCTGCCCTGATCTATGCTCTGCTTAGATCTTGCTTTCACCTAATTTATTCAGAAGAGGGTGGAGTGTGGCTCTCCCAGCTAATTTATGAAAGAATCTTCTCTAACTTGAATTGTTTCCACTCTCCCCAGTAACTGGGATATTTTGTTAAGGATCAGAAAAAAGGAGAATTTCTGACCTGAGTGCCTATTACCAAGTATGGATATATATACCAAGGTTCTTAGATACCATGGGGATGGGGTGTTATAATAACCTGAATAAGAGAGAGTGAAGAAGTTGCATTAATGCAGTGTTCACGTTAAATTTACTGAGGTGTAGTTCATACTTCCCCACCACTTCCAGAGCACATAACTCAAGATCTAACTAACTTTGGTACTGTTACTAGTATAAGCTTTGTGTAAAAATAAACTTTGCCTGAATAATTTCTTAAATATATTAAGTTCTGCTTTGGGTAGGTTCATCCCATCTGTTGCTGTGACCAGCATAGTGGGGAAAGGAGAGAACTCCATCAGCATTTACATTGAGTCACCCACTATGTCTTGTACATTACATCAAAGTACTGAGAATAAAGTCCCTAGTGTCTTTCCTGTAGAACTTCCTTTACAGCTTCCATGGATCTAGAGGAACTTGTGGGTGTTTTGCAACAGCAGTTCATTGGAGATGGAGAGGTGCAAACTGATTTTCATCATTTGGCACATGAAAATTTCAGCTAGAGTGAAGTTACATATAAGCAAATAGTGTTCTCTGAAGGTATCGGAGCAAATTCGGAGGTAATGTCTATGAAGGTGTGATTTAGTCTCTGTGGCTCTGATTCTCAGATGCATCCAATAATCCCTAGCTGCAGCTGGGAGTGGGGGGGGGGGAGGTGTGTAGTCCTGGGCCAAGTCCTCAGCATAATTTGCAGCAGCCTCAATGCTGCCTTAAAGGGCATTACCTGGTAACCCCAAGGGGCTATTCAGGCAGCTGAGGATTGCCAGAGCCCAAGGGTGCCACATTTCTTTAGCATGAGCCATGAGAAGATGAAACAGAGCTCCCTGACTTTCCAGGGATCCCCATTGTTAGAGGGGAGCACACCCTCCAGCCAGATACAGCAGGTTTAAATAGGATTTGCAACAGGGACACCTCAGTTACTGGCAAATAACCCACCTTTCTCCTTTAGGCATTATCATGAGCTAATTCAGTTTAAACTAAATGGAAGGATAAACAAAAATAGATCTGTGACTAGGGTTTTTGATTTCAAAATGGCTAACTTAAAAAAATTAAGGAAATTAGTTAGGGAAGTGGATTGGACTGAAGAACTTGTGGATCTAAAGGTGGAGGAGGCCTGGAATTACTTCAAGTCAAAGTTGCAGAAACTATCAGAAGCCTACATCCCAAGAAGGGAAAAAATTCATAGGCAGAAGTTGTAGACCAAGCTGGATGAGCAAGCATCTCAGGTGATTAAGAAAAAGCAGAAAGCCTACAAGGAGTGGAAGATGGGAGTGATTGAGATCTGAACATGTAGGGATAAAGTGAGAAAGGCCAAAAGCCATGTAGAGTTGGACCTTGCAAAGGGAATTAAAACCAATAGGAAAAGGTTCTATAGCCATATAAATAAGAAGAAAACAAAGAAAGAAGTGGGACCGCTAAACACTGAGGATGGAGTGGAGGTTAAGGATAATCTAGGCATGGCCCAATATCTAAACAAATACTTTGCCTCACTCTTTAATGAGGCTAATGAGGAGCTTAGGGATAATGGTAGGATGACAAATGGGAATGATGATATGGAGGTAGATATTACCACATCCGAGGTAAAAGCCAAACTCAAACAGCTTAATGGGACTAAATCGGGGGGCCCAGATAATCTTCATCCAAGAATATTAAAGTAACTGGCACATGAAATTGCGAGCCCATTAGCAAGAATTTTTAATGAATCTGTAAACTCAGGGGTTGTACTGTATGACTGGAGAATTGCTAATGTAGTTCCTATCTTTAAGAAAGGGGAAAAAAGTGATCCAGGCAACTACAGGCCTGTTAGTTTGACATCTGTAGTATGCAAGGTTTTGGAAAAAAATTTGAAGGAGAAAGTAGTTAAGGACATTGAGGTCAATGGTAATCGGGACAAATTGCAACATGGTTTTACAAAAGGTAGATTGTGCCAAACCAACCTGATCTCCTTCTTTGAGAAAGTAACAGATTTTTTAGACAAAGGAAACGAACAGGATCTAATTTACCTCGATTTCAGTAAGGCATTTGATACAGTTCCACATGGGGAATTATTAGCTAAATTGGAAAAGATGGGGATCAATATGAAAATTGAAAGGTGGATAAGGAACTGGTTAAAAGGGAGACTACAACAAGTAGTACTGAAAGGTGAACTGTCAGGCTGGAGGGAACTTACTAGTGGAGTTCCTCAGGGATCGGTTTTGGGACCAATCTTCTTTAATCTTTTTATTACTGACCTTGGCACAAAAAGTGGGAATGTGCTAATAAAGTTTGTGGATGACAAAAAGCTGGGAGGTATTGCCAATACAGAGAAGGACCAGTATCATACAGGAAGCTCTGGATGACCTTGTAAACTGGAGTAATAGTAATAGGATGAAATTTAATAGTGAAAAGTGCAAGGTCATGCATTTAGGGATTAATAACAAGAATTATTGTTATAAGCTGGGGATGCATCAGTTGGAAGAAACAGGAGGAGAAGGACCTCGGAGTATTGGTTGATCACAGAATGACTATGAGCTGCCAATGTGATATGACTCTGAAAAAAGCTAATGCGGTCTTGGGATGCATCAGGCGAGGTATTGCCAGTAGAAATAAGGAGGTGTTAGTACCGTTATACAAGGCACTGGTGAGACCTCATCTGGAATACTGTGTGCAGTTCTGGTCTCCCAGGTTTAAGAAGGATGAATTCAAACTGGAACAGGTACAGAGAAGGGCTGCTAGGATGATCCGAGGAATGGAAAACCTGTCTTATGAAAGGAGACTCAAAGAGCTTGGCTTGTTTAGCCTAACCAAAAGAAGGCTGAGAAGAGATATGATTGCTCTCTATAAATATATCAGAGGGATAAATACTAGGGAGGGAGAGGAATTATTTAAGCTCAGTACCAATGTGGACACAAGAACAAATGGATATAAACTGGCCATCAGGAAGTTTAGACTTGAAATTAGATGAAGGTTTCTAACCATCAGAGGAGTGAAGTTCTGGAACAGCCTTCCAAGGGGAGCAGTGGGGGCAAAAGACATATCTGGCTTGAAGACTAAGCTTGATAAGTTTATGGAGGGGATGGTATGATGGGATAGCCTAATTTGACAATTTAATTGGTCTTTGACTATTGGGGTAAATATGCCAAATGGCCTGTGATGGGATGTTAGATGGGGTGGGATCTGAGTTACTACAGAGAATTCTTTCCTGGGTGTCTAGCTGGTGAGTCTTGCCCACATACTCAGGGTTTAGCTGATCGCCATATTTGGGGTCGGGAAGGAATTTTCCTCTAGGGCAGATTGGCAGAGGCCCTGGGGGGTTTTTGCCTTCCTCTGCAGCATGGGGCATGGGTCACTTGCTGGAAGATTCTCGGCATCTTGAAATCTTTAAACCATGATTTGAGGACTTCAATGGCTCAGACACAGGTTTGATACAGGAATGGGTGGGTGAGATTCTGTAGCCTGTGTTATGCAGGAGGTCAGACAAGATGATCATAATGATCCCTTCTGACCTTAAAGTCTATGAGTCTATGATTATCTAGCCTAGGGGAAAGGGTGTTTAAAAAAACCCAATACATGAGCTAATACATTTTTAAGGGGACCAAAGCCCTGAGGTAAGTGGGGAAATGGGATCCTGGGAGGAAGCACAAGCAGGAGAG